CCACTCCCTTCCAATCTCTTCCCAACTTGTGCTGGTGTCCGGCCCTGAGGACTGTTTGTTGTGACCCACCACACTATGTGTCAGGCTCCCAGGAGGAATCTCTTCCCAACTTGTGCTGGTGTCCGGCCCTGAGGACTGTTTGTTGTGACCCACCACACTATGTGTCAGGCTCCCAGGAGGTTCATGGAAGGAAGGTGGATGCAGGGAGGTGTTTGGCCCTGGGGAGTCCTGCACTACAACCTCCAGCACACCTTTCCTCTCTGAGCAGTCAGCCACCTTTACCTTCACCGTTTCGGGGTCAGGCCTGCCTGGAAGGGGCAGACCTGAAAGCCCCAGCCGGAGCACATGTCCTTGGATCCAGCTCAGCTCAGAGCTGCTCTCTAGGCCAATGATTTTCTTTGTTTGTTTTCTTTCTTTCTCTTTTTTGAGACACAGTCTCATTATGTTACCCTTGGTAGAGTACCGTACTGGGCCGTCACAGCTCAGAGCAACCTCAAACTCTTGGGCTTAAGCGATTCTCTTGCCTCAGCCTCCCAAGTAGCTGGGACTACAGGTACCCACCACAATGCCCAGCCATTTTTTTTTTGCAGTTGTCATCGTTGTTTAGCTGGCCCAGGCTGTGTTCAAACCCTCTAACCTGGGTGTATGCGGCTGGCACTGTAGCCACCATGCTACAGACCCCAAGCCTACGCCAATGATTTTCAACCAGTGTGCCATGAGAGGATCTTAGGTATGCCACAAAAATTTTTAAAGATCATTAATTCATTTATTTTCAGACGAAATTCAAAGTACAGTAAGTATATTCTTTTTTCACTCTTTTTTTTTTCTTTTGATCAACATAAGTGTGCCATGAGATAAAAATGGTTGAAAAACACTGCTCTGAACTGCAGCCCGGACCCAACCTGACTAAAGCCCACAAGGTGTTGCCTTTTCTTATTTTGTTGGGTTTTTTGTTTGTTTGTTTGTTTGCAGTTTTCGGCCAGGGCTGGGCTTGAACCCATCACCTCTGGTATACGGAGCCAGCACCCTACTACTTTGAGCCACAGGTGCCGCCCGCCTTTTTTTTTCTTTCCTTTTTTTTTTTTTTTTTTTTTTTTGAGATAGCATCTCACTATGTTGCCCTTCATAGAGTGCCATGGCGACACAGCTCACAGCAACCTCCAACTCTTGGGCTTAAGAGATTCTCTTGCCTCAGCCTCCCAGGTTGTTGGGACTACAGATGCCAATCACAACGCCCAGCTATTTTTTAGAGACGGGGCCTTGCTCTTGCTCAGGCTGGTCTCAAACCTGTGAGCTCAGGTAATCCATTCACCTTGGCCTCCGGGAGTGCTAGGATTACAGGCATGAGTCACCCCACCCGGCAAGGTGTTGCCTTTACCTCTCAGCTCTTGCACCCACAGAGGTTTGGTTTTGCTTAAATAACAGCATCATTGAAACATAATTCACGGCTCGGCGCCTGTGGCTCAAGTGGCTAAGGCGCCAGCCACATACACCTAAGGTAGCGGGTTCGAATCCAGCCCAAGCCTGCCAAACAACAATAATGGCTGCAACCAAAAAAATAGCTGGGCATTGTGGCGGGCACCTATGGTCCCAGCTACTTGGGAGACTGAGGCAGGAGACTCGCTTGAGCCCAGGAGTTGGAGGTTGCTGTGAGCAGTGAAGCCATGGCACTCTACCCAGGGGCTCAGCTTGAGGCTCTGTCTCAAAAAAAAAAAAAAAAAGAAAAAGAAACATAATTCACATACTTTACAGTTCACTTGCTTAAAGCATACAATTCAGTGGGTTTTTAGTATATTCACAGAGTTGTGCAGCCGTCACCATAATTAATTTTAGAACATTTCATCCTCAAAAAAACAAAACAAAAACCTGCAGCTTTTACCAGTCCCTGCCCTTTACCCCAACACCCTCCTCAACCCCAGCAACCCTGATCTACTTTCTGTCTCAGCTTTGCCTCTTCTGGACATTTCCTATCAGTGGACTCAGATAAGTAAGTATATTCTTTTTTCACTCTTTTGAAAGAGTGAATCAAGTGAATCAATACCAGGCATTTTGTTCAGTTTCTTTCACTTAGTTTTCAAAATTCGTCCGTGCTGTAGCACGTATCATATCAGTACTCTATTCCTTTTCATCGCCCAAACAATGCTGTATTCTATTCTATGGATATACTGTATTTTGCTTTATCCATTCATCAGTTGATAGTAATTTGGGTTTTCCCATTTTGTGGCTATTATGAATAGTGCTGCCATGAACACTCATATGCCTGTCTATGAACATGTGTTTCCATTTCTCTGGATATGTAATAGGGGTGGAATTGCTGGGCTATATGGTAACTCTGGGTTTAACCTTTTGAGAAACTGCCAGACTGTTTTCTAAAGTGGCTGCACTATTTTACTTGTCATCAGCAGTGTCAGGGGGTTTCAATTTCTCTACGTCCTGCTTCCCCTTATAACTGTTTGTCTTTTTGACCTGGAGAGTTATTATATAAGTGAAGAGTTCAGTTCATCCTGTGCCGGCCCATCTCTGCATGCATCTGCTACCACCCTCCACACACATGCTGAGGTGTTGTGTTTTTCTTTCTCTTTTTTTTTTGAGACAGAGTCTCACTATGTCTCCCTCAGTAGAGTACTATGGTGTCAGAGCTCCCAGTAACCTCCAACTCTTGAGCTTAAGCAATTCTTTTGCCTCAGCCTCCCAAATAGCTGGGACTATCGGTGCCCACAACACCCAGCTATATTTTTTTGTTGCACTTGTCATTGTTTAGCTGACCCTGGCCAGATTCAAACCCACTGGCCTAGGTGTATGTAGCCAGTGCCCTACCCACTGAGCTACGGGCACTTCCTGTTGTTTTTCTTGAATAGCACAAAAGTTCATTCTCGAAAAATCAGATTCTACGTAAGTGCCTTGGAGTGCCATCTCACTAGGTATAGGCAGATGTTAAGTATAACCTAATGTGAATGAGCCCAAGTTCAATTCCTACTTGGGTTGTCTGGGCTAAGGTGTGGATTTCATTTAAAGACCAGCACTGGCTTGGGGCTAGCTGTAGGTCTGTCCCCTTGAGGCAGGAGGTATCTCTGTTGGTCCTGGGCTAGAAGGAGCCTATGATCTTTTTACACCAGCCCCTGAATGACCTGCTGTCATCTTGGGGCATGTTTCCTTGCAGTTTGAGAAGCTGGGGTACAGCCAGCCCTGGATCCAGGTGCCTACTTCCTGTGTTTACCTGGCAGGTAAGGAAAGGAGCATGTGTATTAAAGCACTCCCTGTGCCAAGTGTCACTCAGGGTAGGGACTAGGATGAGGTCTGTGGGGGCACCAAGGGCACAAAATTTCAGGAAACTGTGCGCGTGTCCCAGCCTGATCCTGCATTTGCAGGGTCCCAGGAGAAAGTGTCTCCGTAAATTTCAACCCTTAGGCACGTCATTCCCCTCTCCTTGTCCCAACCTTATCCCACTTGCAAGGCAGTATGACTGGACCCCTTTTAAAGGGGTGATAGAAATGGCCAACTCTCTGTGGCCTTGCTGGAAGGCACCATACCTCAAGAGAAGGAGCCCTGGTCACTCTAAGGTCACCCTGAAGTTAAGACTGCTTTTGGATATGTGGAGGCTCCATTTTGACACTAAATTGTCCTCCAGTCCCTGAAGGCCAGTCTCTGCCCTCTTCTCCGACCCCTAGTACTCTACTGCTGGCCTCCTCCCACTGGAGTGCAGAGCAGGCATCAGGCATGACGTGACCATTCTGTAGCAACAAGTGAACCTCAAATGACAAATTATTGTGTTTCTGGAACTCTTCAGCTAGATCTGCTACATTTTAAATGCATTGAGATGCTTGCCACTGAAAGCAGGGGCTTGCAAACATGTCCTCCCAGTCCTAGATGATGGCACTTGTGAAGGGTTGTATATGCTTCTCTGTTCCCAGTGTGCTCACTGCATCTCAGAGCTTCTCAGCCCAGGCTGCGCACTAGAATTACTTGGGAACTTTTCAAATGGAGAAATGCCTCCATCAGGATCTGCGGGGAGTGTATGGGAGGGAAGCATCAGTATTTTCTAAAGTGGTTCAGTGTGCAGCCCAGGTAGAGAACTATTGCTCCAACCTCTTCTCTTACTCAACAGAGAACGCTGGAATAGATGGGAGGTGCCTGTAGCTCAAAGGAGTAGGGCACCAGCCCCATATGCTGGAGGTGGCAGGTTCAAACCCAGCCTGTAGCCAAAAACAAACAAACAAAAAAACACTGGAATAGAAGTGAAAGTAATTTTTTTTTTTGAAAACGAACCCCAAACCATCCCCCTGGGTAGAGTGCCATGGCATCATGCTCACAGCAACCTCCAACTCCTGGGCTCAAGCGAGTCTCCTGCCTCCGCCTCCCAAGTAGCTGGGACTACAGGCACCCGCCACAACGCCTGGCCATTTTTTGGTTGCAGCCATCATTGTTGTTTGGCGGGCCCGGGCTGGGGATTCAAACCCACCACCTTAGGTGTATGTGGCTGGCGCCTTAGCCGCTTGAGCCACAGGTGCCGAGACAGAAATGAAAGTAATTTTTATAGTAACTTTGAATCTGCTCAGATTTAAAAACTTCAGTCCTTTACTATTAGTAACAAGTTACTTATTCCCAACTAAGCAAGGCAATCCAGCCTGGGGTGCTGATTTAATCCATTGAACACAGTGACCCCTAGAAGAGCAAATAAATGCCCCAATTGATTTGTCCCCGAGGGCTTCCCTGCTTCCCTGCAGTTTGCTGAAGTGAGGCCCCTGGTCACAGCACCCCCTTCTCGCAGCTGCAGTGATGGAGCATCTGCATCTGGCCCTGAGACCCATCTGCAGTGTCCCTCCACTGCTCACCCGGAGTGAGGTAAGTGGGCCATTGCCACAGGAAACCCTGCACCCTGCCATGCTGCCCCCCTCTTTTCCCCTCCCCCACCCTCTTCCACCACTCCTTACCCCTTTGACACCATGATTATCTTTCCAGCCAGACTGGAGGCTCTCAAAGGCAAGTTCACGACATTCACATTTTTGAATGCCATCAATACCACTAACTCTCAACACACACACACACACACACACACACACACACACACACAGAGGTCTTAAGCTCCTAGGTCATGCTTACTGAATAAGTACATGTTAAGTACCTACTGTGTACAGAACACTATTCTCATAATAGTAACGGTGCATGTATTTGCTTAGTTAAAAGAGAAGACTTTTGAATTGCAGATTGTAAACAGTAAGACAACAGGTGGCATTTGTTTTTATTTCAAAATCCTTCCAGTGAACTGACCCATTTGATACTGACACCCTACTAAGTTAGGATGGGATGAAAGATTATGATCTCCATTTCATGATGAGAACCTGAGGATTACAGAAGTTAGTGATTTGCCCAAGGTCACACTATATGGGAATGGACTTCAGACTCCGAGTCCAGTCCTTTCTAACCCAGGGAATGGCAGGGGGAGGGAGGGTTGTAGAATTGTAGAATGGGTCCCTGGAAACAGTTACCTATGGTTTCTCCTTTGAGCCACCAAAACTAGTAGAGAAGAGAGAATAATGACAATAGTGACTATTGATATGTCAGGTACTGTGCTTTGTGTCCATTAACCTTCATTACTACTCTCAGTTGTAGATTCTATTATCATCTCCCCTTTTCACAGGAGGAAATTAGATAGTGAAATAACCTTACCCGTGATCACTCACTTAAGGGTTAGAGCTGGGATTCAAACCTAGACCTAAATGATTTCTAGCTTAACCACTAGCTTGCAAAATGCATTAAGAATCACATCCCTATGAAATAGCTGCCCAGGTGCTGCTAAGCGGTGGTCAGGCAGGGACTTAGCTCCCCTCAGTCTTGTCTAAATTCTGGGTTTCCTTGTTCAGCTCAGGCGCAAAGAACCTTTAGCTGGGCAAGTTTTTCTGCTGTGGCTCAGGCGTCCTCTGCTGGTCAGTCTGTGACACATCAGCCAGCACTCTCGTTTTGACTCTGTATTATACATATATAACCTTTCATTCATTTAACATTTATTGAGCACCTACTGTGTACTAGGCACTGTGCTGAGCATTGGAGACAAAAAGACTGAGACGTCACAGTCCAAAGGGGAAGACATCTCTTTCACCAGGCAACTCAAAACACTGCAATAAGAGCTATATTAGGGGAAATATCAAGGACCTTTGGAGCACGCAGAGGGGCACCTAAGTCAACTCTGAAGTCGGGGAGGCTTCCCAAAGGAGGTGACGGCCTGAGATCTGAGAACCCTTTGTCCAGGGACCCTGTTTATCTAACTTATCTCAGCTGGAGTAAACATACAGGTGCTCTCCTCAAAGCCCTGCATTTACTGGCTGAGGCAAAAAAGACAAGAACTAGTTTCTCTCCTTACCCCTGCAAGCATCCATGACCAGGGGTTGGTCCTCAAGGACTGTTTCAGTGCCATGGGAGAATCAAGCCACTGGTTTACTCATCCCCAGGGTCTGCCTGAGGAACAAGAGAAGAAAGGAGGGTACAGGCTCCAGCATAGCAGGGAAGAAATTTAAGCTAGACTCTCCCTCCCCTGTGTGATCCTGGGCAAGTCACTCAACTCTGACATTCATCCAAATACGCAAGGAGGGGTTGTCCTAGTACCACCTCAGAAGATTAAATAAGGTATAGAAAGGATTTAACCCTGGACCAAATGCAGAGTGTGTGCAACTGATAGCTGTCATTATTACCTGTGAAGTCGGGGGTCCCCCAGGCCATCTGGCAATTCTCCAAACACCAAACCCAGCCCAGACCCTGGGGAGTAATCAACTCGGCATAATTGAATTCCTCTCTTAGGGAAGCTTAATTACCGGGCGTTAAGGCTGTGGCTGGGGCTCGCCTGACCACAGTTGGTCTGGGGCTGAGGGCAGGAAGCCAAGCCAGTTTCCTGGAGACATTTTTCTGGTGGGTGTTGCGCTTCTCCCGTGAATAACCAAGAATTTACCAAGGGGCCTCCTAGCACCATGATAGGCCGGGAACAGACGTGCAGGGGTGGGACCTTTGCTTCCTGGAGACAGAGGTGTTCAGAGTTCAACTGAAGGGAGGATGCAGAGAAGGCATCATGGAGGCGACACCCTCCATGACAATGGAGATAGAAGGCAGAAAGGAAGTCCTCCCTGGTAAGGGTATCTCAGGAGTAAGACCTGGCACTGGGGTCCTTTCACTTCGCTGTGCGATGAAGGGCGTACTTACTCTCTGCCTTCTTTCTTTTTTTTTTTTTGGTAGAGACAGACTCTCACTTTATCGCCCTCGGTAGAATGCCGTGGCGTCACACAGCTCACAGCAACCTCCAACTCCTGGGCTTTAGGCGATTCTCTTGCCTCAGCCTCCCGAGTAGCTGGGACTACAGGCGCCCGCCACAACGCCCGGCTATTTTTTTTGTTGCAGTTTGGCCGGGGCCAGGTTTGAACCCCCCACCCCCGGTATATTAGGCCGGCGCCCTACTCACTGAGCACAGGCGCTGCCCTCTGCCTTCATTCCCCTTTGGTGAACACCGGGGTGGAGGAGCGCCCCTCCCGCTAGCCCCGCCCTCGCCCGCCCCACCTCTCCGCAGGTGCTCAACGCGGCAGTGACGCACACCTTCCAGATCACCAAGGCCCGCGCTCAGCTGGGCTACGCGCCGGCCAAGTTCAGCTTCGCCGACGCCGTGGAGCGGTACGTGCAGTCCACCGCCGGGCGGCCCGGCGGCTCTACGGCGCGGGCGCTCCTGCGGCTGCTTCTTGGGCTGCTGCTCCTTGGCCTGCTTGCCCTGGCCCTGTACTTCCTGGCCCTGCAACCTCTGCAGGCCACCGTGGACCGCCTCTGACCGTGGGGAGGGCTCGCTTCACCCTCGCCCCGCCCCCGGGTCTTGGTCCCGCCTCTGAGTCTGGTCACGCCCCAGACCCGCTCCAGATCTGCCCAATCCTGCCACGCCCCAGATTCGCCCCTGCTCTGCTCCACTTTCTTCTGGCCCCATCTTTGTACTTGAGCCCACCCCTTGGTTTCTTATTCCGGGACTGGCCTTGACCCCTCTGGTCGGATCCTTCCCTTCTCGCGAGTTAAGACGTTCCCGTCTCGGCTCGCTCCCTCTCTGGCTCCACCCCTCCCCGGCCCCGCCTCTTGGGTGGGTTCTGCCTGTGGCTGGGTGACTGAGTGTCAGTGGGCTGAGGCTGGCTGGATTGGTGTTTGTAGTTCGCGCTGTCTGCTGCCACTTCTGGGGACAGTGGACCTTCCTCACTGTCCAAACAGTCCTGATGTCTGTCCTGACATCATTTCGGAATCTTAAATTAGAACCATTCTAATAACATTGTATTTGATCCGCCCTGACCCACAAGTTCTGGGTACGCTCATTCATACAGATGTCCCTGTGTGTTGATAGACCGGGCTTGAAGGGATATCCGAGACCCAGGCTTCTGCTCAGCCCAATTTGGCCTTTGGGATTTTGACCTACAAGTCTGGGGATGACAGCATAGTAAACACAGGCTTCAGTACCAGAGAGAGCATCAAAAAAGAAAAAAACCTTTTTAAAGAATTGGAAGTCTTCTTGTGGCTCAAAGGAGTAGGGTGCCGGCCCCATATGCCAGAGGTGGTGGCTTCAAACCAGGCCCGGCCAAAAAAAAGAAAAAGAAAAAAAGAATTGAATATCTTGAGGAAATACCAATATATAGTATAATGGGGAAAAGTAAAGCTAAGTTGGTTGTATTTTATGATTTAGTGTTGTTTCTACTAATGAGGGGTTGTACTGATCACCATAATCTTTAAAGTTTAATCCAGGCCAGCTCTCCATGGAAACTGACCCTCCTTATCACCTTGGTATCAGCTGTTAATACCAAGACATCAGTGTGTAAATACATCTATGTATATATTATTATATACACACATGGAACTGGCTGAGCAAACTATGGTTTGCCTGTGGAAAACCATCACAAGCCTGTGGTGGAGGGGAATGAATGCACTAATCCAAACCAACATGACCATCACAGGTGTGTCCCAATCTGCTGGACAGAAAAGATGTTTGTGAAGGAGCTAAAAAGTGTTATGTTCCTCACTGCTAGGATGTGTGTATATTGTGACATGTGTGTATACAATTTTTTGAAGAATAATAACGCTTTATGTCTGTTTAATGCTTGAAAGTCCAAAAGGGCTTTTATCTCTATGATCTTATTTAATTCTCAGGGCCACCCTGTTAATAGGGTTTATTATTCCCATTTTATAGATGAAGAAACTAGGAATTTGTCTAACCTCAAAGAGCAGAGGAAGATGGGAGTTACTGCTCTGCAGCTGGAAGAATTTGGAGGCACTGCCCAAGGTCTACTGGCCTCAATATGACAAATAGTTATTTCTACTCTTCCACACCCTGGTTATGCCAGGTTTGGGGGCTGAGTTCTGGGATCTACTTTCAGATCCACAAACCTTGGGCTTGTTGTGGCTGGCAGTCCTTAGGTTCTCTTTCTTTCTTTCTTTCTTTTTTTTTTGAGACTGAATCTCACTATGTGGCCCTAGAATGCTGTGGCATCACAGCTCACAGCAACCTCCAACTCTTGGGCTTAAGTGATTCTCTTGCCTCAGCTTCCCAAGTAGCTGGAACTACAGGTGCCTGCCACAATAGGCAGCTATTTTTTTTTGTTGTTGTTGTTGCAGTTGTTATTGTTGTTTAGCTGACCCGGAGCAGGTTTGAACCTGCCACTCTCAGTGTACGTGGCTGGAGCCATAACCACTGTGCTACCAATGCTGAGCAGGTTCCCTTTCTTCACAGTAATATACTTGTATTTAAACTCACCTGCATCCTCTCTGCCTTTCCTTTCTCTAACAATCCTGAGAACTCTGATCTTAGGTTAGAGCAGAAAAATCAGATTCACACCATTCACATTATCTTTTAGATATTTTGTCTACTGCCAAACCAAAGTTTTGAAACCACAAAGCCAAGAGTCAATTTTTTTGTTCTCTGAATTTCTCCAAGTCATCTCTTACCTGAGGCCCCGAACCCTGGATACAGGGGCCATAGAGTCACTATGTTGGGAAAGCTTTCTTCCTTTCAAGTGTCTGTACCCAGTGGGAAAGGAGGTAGTACCTCCACCCAACAGGGCAAACTGAATCGCAGTAAGGATTTTAGAGGCTGTCCAGAAAACAGCCTTACATGAGGCTCTGAGAGGGCGAATAGAAAGAAGTCTGAGCTTACTTGGAGATCTAAGGAGAAGCATCATGAATGCAGAAAACAGAGCTATCACAATGGACAACCCAAGATGACATAGTTGATTAGGAAGGACCATCAGGACAAACTCATAAACTTTCTATTGTGTGTATTGAAGCTGTTCCCAATTGCAGACCCAATGTCTGGCATCTAAAACATCCTCACTCCTCTCTCATCTTAGAAACATCATCCCTTGACTCGCCATTTTTGCTCCCACCACTGCTCCCATTGCTCTTCTTTCCTCATAATCAGAATTTATGATGGTTTGTCCATAATTATGTTTCCATTTCTCCTCTTCAACCCATTCCAAGCTTGAATCAAGTCTTCACTGACCTTGTCTATAAATCATAAACACAATGGATATTTGTCAGTCCATATCTTTCCAAGCCTCTTAGCACCATTTGACTTGGTTGGCTCCTTTCTCCTTGTGGAAACACCTTTCTTGGTCTTGATGAAACCACACCTGCTTTGAACATTTGTCTCTGACCAGTCCTTCCCTGTCTCCTTCACTGGCTCCTATTCCACTGCCCTCCCTTTAGGATGATGTACCTACAGAGTCTCTCTTGGCCTCTTTTCTCCCTATCTGGGCTCTCTCTGAGTGAGTTTGTCCCTATCCTTTCCTGTAGCCTCAGTCTCCAATGCCTTCCAAATCCACGATTTGCTCAGAGTGTTCTCTTCACCGGCACACCTCTATGGTCAAACTTCTACTCAAGCCCATGTTCGAGAAGCATCTCTAGCTCAGTGGGGATCAAACTGAGCTACTCATCTTCCCCACAAAGTTGCTAGTCCTCCATCCTGTACTCCCTCCCAGGGAGAGGAGGCTCAAGCCTCGTAATCGCCCAAACCCAGGGCATCTGTTGACACTGTTCTCTTCTTCACCATATCCTCGTTAGTGAGTTCTGTTAGTCCCTTTCTGTCCTCTACATGGCCACAACCATACATACCACTGTCCTTTCTCTTAGACACCTGTAGTAGGCTTTAAACAGAACTTCCTGTCCTTGCTGCCAGAGGGAACTCTCTAAATCCCATATTGGAACGTGTCACTCACCAGCTTAAAGCCCTTTAGTAGTTTCCCACTGCCCTCAGGATCAAGTTCAAAGCCTTTCCCTGGCATTCAGGACTCTCTTTACCTATCTCTTCAGCCCCACCTCTTCTTACCAATGTCCACTTTCACTCTCTGTCCAGCCCGAATTGCCTTTACAGCATCTGGCACTCACCAGGTTTTCAGTGCCTTCTTGGACCTCTCTCTTCTTGGAAATCCCCTCTCCAACTTTACTAGGCTAATCTCTTAATCTCAGGAGCTGGCTAAATGTCACTTCCCCACTTCTCCTGGTCCAGGTTGGCATGCTGCACAAGTATAAATAGTTAAATTACAATGTCTGTAAATTCTGTGAGTTTGAAAACGTCTAGCTTGTGCACTACTGCAGACTCAGGGCGGACTGGGTACCTGGCACGTAATAGGCCCTTCGTAAATAGTTGTTGAATGAATGAAGAAGTAAGGATCCCCTAAGCCAAGCCTGAAGACCAAGTAGGAGGTGAATCAAGGAAGTGGAGATCCTCAGAGGTATCTGAGTTTGTTACTCCCACGTGAATGCTGACCTCTGCTGCCCCAGCCCCTCCACTGCATTACCAGATACCTCTTAGACCTCTTCTACCAACAGAGGTATGAGGTCAGCCAGAGCCCTCCGAAGCGGGGCGAAAGGGACCCTTCCTAACTCAAGTCACGCCCACCTAACCTTTTTCTTAAGCGGTAAAGAGGCCCATCTCGTTGCCTCAGGCCTGGAAGCATTAAAGTCTCAGGCAGCGTGTGGGGAACTTTTCCAGGTAAACTAGACGCTTTCTCCTGGAAATAGGGAGCGGATTTTGTTTTGTTTTATTTTGCTTTGCTTTGCTTTGAGAGAGTCGGATTGGTGGGTGAGTTTTGTGTACTGAACTACACAGTAAGAGCCTACGATGCATAGTTTCTTCCATTTCTCCTCTCTTCCTCCTTCCATTAAAAGAAGTTAAACGTCAGAAAGGAGAAAAAAGGAAGAGGGAGTGGGAAACAATGACATAAAAATGTTTACGGACTTGGAAAATGAGACCATCTCGGTGTGGCAGCGGTGGGATTCGAACCCACGCCATCGAAATGACTGGAGCCTAAATCCAGCGCCTTAGACCACTCGGCCACGCTACCTCCCGCTCGCAAAGGTTTCCTCTCTGGCTATATTAGGTTGATGACGTGGCGGCTCGCCCTCTGTGAGCCCGCCCCCATGGATTTGCGTGTGCTCAATATGGCACCAGCTGTTCTACGCGCTTGTCACTACACATCAAACCTTTCAGAGCTTCGGAGTCACAGTTCTCTAGTGATCGACAACGATAAATACAATAGAAAAGCATCATTAAAAAGTAAAAAGGAGTTAGTAATTGTACAACGTTAACATTCATTCTCCACTTGTGTGTTCGGATTTGATTTTTGCGGTTTTTTCCCCATGGGCGTGATGCTGTCTATAGCCACCTGAGGGCGCTGCCTCCCTGCCGCTTCCTCCCGGCTGGTCTGAGGTCCCGCGGGGATCCCCATTTTGCACAGTACTCTTCTGGCTCCCCATTCTGAGGACTCTCTACACCCACGTAAAGTCGCCTCTGCAGTCATGGAT